CTACTCAGACCATGGTGAAAAAGTTCTCTCTTCCCACTGATCTTCCCACTTTTCTGAATTAGCTCAAAAACTGCTTATGACCTAAGCATTTTAGCACTGCAATTAAAATCACTGGTCCTAGATGACACTCTTTAGCCCCCTGAATTTATTTTTCTCCAACAGATTAAAATGGTCCATTGGGGTAGATTTAATGTGCCAAACTGTCAGTCAGTTTCTGTGACTGTCACACACATCCTCCCACTGCCCACCCTTCCTAGAGGCTGCTAAATCACATTAGCATGCTATCAGATCATCACTCTCAGATTTTCACATTTCAGCAGCTGCTACTCTCTTTTTATTAGCAAGTCTGCAGAGAAAATCTTGCAGACAAAATGGAACTGAACCCTGTGGTTATTGTGACTGGAAGTATGCAGGACTGAAAGTGCCTGAGGGGGGCCTGCAGGTACCATGCAGAGGTCTTTCAGAAGATACATTAGTTATTCAAAATTTCTGCTCGTGGGAAAACAAAAAGCAAGCTGATCTCTACTCCAAAGATACAATAATTGTATTTTTTTCATATTTTTTACTATCAAAATTAAGCAGAGGACTGTGTGAGAGACTTGTCCAGCCTCACATATTTTTCATCCCACCTTGATGCAGTCAGTCACCCTAGGCACACACTTTCAAGCCATGCAGCCCTGCCAAAAGGTGCTGAGAGCAATGTTTGCCACTGATTACTTTCCATACAAATAATGTAACCTTTGGTCAGGTCCTGTAACACTTAATTCTTCAGAAGAATTACATAAGTGACATGCATGATACTGGAGATGAACGTTTGCATGCTTCAATGATGGGCCCATTCAACTGGCAGCTGGACCCTCGGTGCGTATGCTGCATTCCCTCATGCCATTGTATGACCTCAGGTGAGTGTCTGAAGCTGCCTGTGCTTCTTTCTGTTCACTGTGAAGATAATGATATTTATTTATCTCTGTAAGTTTATTTACAATGACATCTACTGAACAGATGGTAAGCATGATTACTAGTCCATACCCTTATACTCTGTTAAAAGTACCTGAGCTTGCCAACAACTGACCAACTTTATTAGCAAATCCTTAAAACATTTTTATAGAAAGAGCTACGCATGAAGGAATAAACATTGTAGGTCTAAGGAATCAATATTGAATTGTTTAAATATTGAATAATTGTGTTACAATTTCTCTGTGTTCTAAAAACTGTGCTATGAAGGATCTTGCATGATAGTTAAATCTTTCCCCATAAGTTCTGTGTTTCTTATAGCTTTCTCAGTAGGTCAATAACTTCCAGACCTTAAAATTCACTTAGCAAATGAAATGAGATCAAATGAAAGACCCTCTCAGATTAATCTGAGCAATTTTACTGTCTATTTGACATAACTGCAAACAGCAGCAGCCACCAATGATATGTGTTGAAAATAAAGCACAGGATGGAGTAGTCTCTTTATCACTATGTTGAGTTGAACAAAGACAGATTATCTGGTGATTTGGGCTTGGAATATTAATTAAACATCAAGGCTTTCAAATTAGAATCCCAGATGTTTGATCATTATGGTAATTCCCTGTTAACAGCATTCCCTGAAAGGCCTGAGAAACATTCCTCTAATTCTCCAGTGGTGAAAGGTTGAGGACCCTTAGGCTATAGAGCACTGAGCTCCTCTGCATCAATTATACAAGACATGGCCTTTTCCAGCAAAATGGAGCCATCTTATTTATTGAGCCTTCTGTTAAGGAAGCTCTCAAACAGCTGCCTAGGTAGATAAGTGCTTTTCTTACAAGCATAGGCCTTGCCAAAAAACAAAGCACACTGTTCCTCGAGCAAGCTGCTTGCTCTGAAACAAGTCGCAACAGCAATTATCTTTTCAGAGAGAGTAAGAACTAGCATCTCCAGGAAAGTCACCCTGTCAACAACATTGTCAGTGGGACTTGATCTTCTGCTCTGGACTGTCTGGGCATAGGAGTCAGATCATATTCCTCAGCCCTTGCTAAGGGAGCCCTGGCTCCAGCTGAACTGCCCCCCAACCAGTACTACATGAGTAGCCTTATCCTGAAAAGATAAGAAGCTGGAATGAGTTCAAGTCATCTTCAGGAAATCATGTGGATTGTTGCTAGTTTCCTTTCCATATTCCCTGTGCATCTGTAGTACTACATTTTATAGAGACAACTTCTCCTGAGACTAATCTGGGAACAATGTCTAGTGTTTCCACAGCCTGCTGACAAGAATGCAGATGGTTCTTTAAGCAGCACAAGTTCTGTTTGTCATAGTCAGCTCAGGAAGTGTGTTTGGAGATCTATACTAACAGCCAGCCTGCTTACTACCACATCACACTGTCTTCATACACATGGACCTCCTCAGTGCACCCAGCAGTTTGTGACTTGTGATAAATTATCTAGCTAGGAACAATAGCAATAACAACACTCCTTTCACCTGGCAGTAATTTAGCCTGACATCTCTTCCTTTGGTATGTGCTCCTACTAACATGTGAATAAGACACAACTTCATACATAGGCCTGGAGCAACCTAAAAATTTGTCATTAAGCAATAAGAGTCATAGAAGGTAACATGAGACCCAGACAGGATGGAACTAATTATCTGAAGTTCAAGGTCTCAGGTTATTCACGTAGCCAAACTTGACTGTAATCTGAAAAGAATTTCATGTGGAAGGGGGATGTATTGCAATATTTTATATACTGTACTACATGTTCTTTTTGCAATCTGATTAAGGGTTTTCAGCCTTTACAGGGTACAGCTTCAGATCAGACATACTGGACCAGCTGTGGAAGATTCCTTGTCCTATCATGTGACAAGGAACTTATGTGTTACCTTAGATAGTGCTCTATAGACGCCTACATTCACCTAGTGAAAAACTCTTTTCCAGCAGTCTTTTGGGCCCACACATGGTCTATGGACTCAGGCATTTCAATTCAAATGAATGGAAAATACAATAACTTTCACAAAGCCTATATAATCCACCCCACAGCTTTTATTAAAAAAGCCCCAAACTCTACTGTGTACTAACAAAATACAAACTTGTGCTCAAATGTATTTGCATTATTCACAAGTATTTGCATTATTCACAAGGTTCCTCTAGAGACTAATCAGGCACACTGAAGGTCTCTATGCCACACTCCAGTCAACAAGTAATCCCTTCATGAGAGCAGATTTCTATAAATCTCTTCTTCACAGAGGTTTAAAATACAGATTCAACCTCAATCACGCAAAGCTGGTACTGTTCATCAGGCTCCAGCCTCAACACCAGCTATTTTCACTTACCCATTAGTTTTCCTAATGAACACTTTAGTGCAATTCCATAATTCTGTTCAGGAAATACTTAGACATACTTCATTAGACAAGTTGACAGAAAAAAAGAAGGCTAGGACAACCACAACCTCAACAAAGTCCATGGAGTCCTGAACATTAGCACCCCTTTTTTTCACAGTAGAAAGGATACCCAGAGTTTTCTGGATTTTGCTGGGCCTCACATTCATATTGACTGCACAGAGAAACAATCGTTTACCCAGAAGAATCCTGAAATCTCTTGCTGTGAGAAGTTTTGTGTTTACAATGGCCATCAACAGCCCAGTAAAACTAGGTTAAATATATCAGTAATTGTTAGAGTGAGAAAAAGCAGTGAGATTGAAGGGGAAATAACAGGGTCCTTTGATAGCACTGTACAACTCCAAAACAATATACCAAAAAGCTGATGTACCAGAATCAAACTGGTCAGTCACATGTAACTGGAAACAGCAAACTTCCAGATAACAAGTTCTCCATTCTTCTGTACTGAAGGACCTTGCATGTCACTAGCCCAGGACTGCTTGATTTTTGCAGGCTATAGCTGCATGGCCTTGGGCACTCTGAGGGTCTGCTGTTATTAGCAACTTTGTCCTTTTCACCAGCCAGTATTAGTTGGGCAACAGCAAAAGAGGCAATTGATTATATGAAGCTGCTCATGAAGAAGGGACAATATCAGTCAAATATTCTCCTCAGCTGCCCCTTCTACCTAACTCTCTGAATATCCTCCTAAGAAGAATATTAATTTGCAAGTTAGCACTAAATTATATTTTATCACTCTTCAGCACTGTTTTTCTGTCTTGTCTGGCACCTCTTTATGAAAATAAACATTGATTTGAATGATGGGATGAAAGGCAAGGCTGGCACTGGGTTCCAGGATATCATTCCCTGCTGTCAGTACCAGGCCACATACAGTGAGGTCAGTCCTAGCAGTGACATGCTGTGCTGAAATATTCCAGGTGCTTACTCAGAAACAGCACAGGCTGTGGACAAAATATTCCCAAATGGCATTTACTTAACCTGGATCAAGGCTGTAAATTTTGTTCATCAATTATCACAAAACATTTTACTCAGATAACTCTAACTCCAGACAATGGCTTATGAACTGAGATGTTTGAGGTGTGGCTTTATGGACTACCTACTGGCAAATGAAGATTCACTTTTTGTCTTGTTTGGGCCTAATACATGCTGTGATTGTCCACATCTGATCCATTGGGTCATTTAAATTGCTGCCTACAGCATAGTCCCAAGAAGGCTGCAATACTGAGTTTTGTTCCATACAGTAGGGAACAAATAACATTTCTAAAAGCAAAGTACAACTTTTACATTTCCTAAGAAATGTGGCAGCACATACTACTTTGAATTGCTGATTTTGGCATTTAAAGCAAATGTCAGTATCAGTTACAATTAAATGTTCAAGAATGCACATTTCTAAATCAGACTTCTAAAGATAATCTGAGCAGCACAGAGCCTTATTGTACAGGCTATAAGATTTCTTCTCATCCCCTGACCACCTACATCTCTTTATACCACCTGGAGGAGCAAAACAGGACCATATAAACAAACATTAAGACATAAAATATATGAGTACAAGACAATTATGTATTTTTACAGGTTGAACAAAATTAAAAAATGAAAGTAGGTGAGATCTTATGGAGTAACCTGTAAAAACATTCCACCTTAACATATCGTACCTTCTGCTGCTAATTCTTTCCATCTTTCTTTGTTTGCTTGAATGATCTTCATCAAGTTGTCCCTAAAGCTCCTTAGGTCTACGCTTGCTAGAGAATTTTCTGTATGAGTCCCTCCATCACTTGTACTCTTAAAACCAGGTCGTCTTTGTGCTTCCACATTGCTAACTGCTCCCAAACTATTTTGGCTGTATGAGAGAAAAAAAACCACAAATTGTCAACACTGTCAGGCAAACAGTTAATCTGAATCAAGTTGCTTAGTAACTAACTTGAAATAATAGTTTTCACCAGAGAATGGTTAAGATACAAGATGTCTTACAAATATTTTTCCAGGGAATTCTTGGGAAAATAAAAAAAGTGACAGCTGAAAACACATTTTTTGTAAGCTGATTATTGAAAGAATGCTTATGCAGCTATTTTGGAGTAGCTTCTTAGCTGTGTTTTTGGACAGTGAATGGTATCTTTGAGGCTACCAGGAAAGATGTCTGATTGGGGTTTTTTTGACCCGTTCTAGAATGGGTCAAAAACATGAAAGTATATGACAGGTACTTACAGCTTGAGCTGAAAATTCTCTTCAAGCTATATGCCTTCAAGTGCAGTCAAAGCAGGATTTAGTATAGTGGCTTCAAAATCCATTAAAGAGCTACTGTAGCTACTTCACATGTAAGCTAGTGTAGAAATCTAATAGATTATTTGTATGTGTATACACATACACATGTAAAGGTGGGGAAAAAAGAATGAATGCTCTTTTCTTTTTAGGATTGAAAAATCAGACCTATTTCCAACTCTGTACAGGTAATCATGTCATAATAGGTTTTGTTTACTCAATTATACTGCATAGTTTATCTCATTGGTACCACAGACAGATGTTAATAAGCATACAAATGTTTTTCTATTAATCAGAACATAGTTGCAGTGAACATAGCAGTGAGTACTTCCCAAAAAGAGCTAACTGTAATTTCCATGTGCTCCAGAGATGTTGAATGGGTTAGAATTGCAAGAATAGGCTGTAATTCCAATGTTTTTCAGGCACCACAGTGAATGTCACACCATATTCTCACGGCATCCACCCAGTAATGTCTATGTAACTCTGCTGTCTCAGACTTCCCTGTATCATGCTATAGGCTCTCCACTCTCTTCAAAAGCATGGCTCTTGATTCTATACTAAGAAAGAATCCCTTTATCTTCCACCTCACATGAGGAAGTTTTGCTGAATCACAAGCCATTGTTCATTTACTATTCAGTCATGAACATCAACCAAAAATGAAACCCAGAGCTGCTAATCATTTGCAGCTTTTAATCACTCATTTGTGAAGAAGTGAGTAGGTGAACAAATTTGTTAGCAGTAATACCTTAGTTTAGCACTGTTCCCCAAAACACTAAGAACACCATCAAAAATACCTACGTATAGTAACTGCTACTTGCTTCTAGTAACCAAAACACAGAAAAGAGCAGTGTTCACCATTTTGTTACAAAGTCTAACTAATGCCCATCAAATGAAAAACTGCCCAGTAGAGTTATCATATTAGCAACCTCAGTGAAAGCTCACATTACAATTTCAAAGTCAAAATAAAAGATGGTAACAGAGGCAGTGTTTGTAAAGGCAGTCTCTGATTATTCAACAATGCTTTCAGCATAGAGTCACACAGACTACACTGTCATAGCTAGTTTGCTTTATAGACAACTTCTATCGTGATGAAGAATCATGATCTTGATGGGCAACATCGCTCTGGGCCGCTACACCCCTCCTCCCATCTCACTTATATCGCCTTTAGATTTTCAAGTGGAACATAAGTGAAATCAGTTTTGTTTCAAGTGTATACATCAAATAATACTAACATCGAAAGGTGAACAGGGAAAGTGACCTACAGCATAACAAAGAACAGAAAAACCTGAATCCACCTTCATCACCTCCACTTCCAAATGTCACTGGAAGGAAAGAATGACTTTTGGTACTGTCAATTAAAACGATACTGAAAACGGTTTAAGATGAGAGAAACATGAACTTCAATAACCTATTGCAGAGATTATATTCAAAAATTGCAGAAAATCAATTTCTATGTGTTTATTCTGATGGTTACTGTGGTTTTGCCTTTTTATACGCACAACCGTTCAATGGAATAGCACATTGCAAATACAACACTTCACCACAGGGTGGCGATACTGCACAGCTATTTCGGTTACCCTCCCAACTGTTACCATAACTCGGATAACTGAGGATGACATTACCATGTGAGTTTCTGTTAGTTCAATAACTGAGCAGTGTATTCATACCTGGGGGTCCCAGATGCAGGACTTTCAGTTTTTGACGCTTCCTCTATAAGAGGCATAACAATTTTCTCCATTGAGTCACTAAGAAGAGAAAATGTTGGTTCTACTATGAAATCAATGAAACCTAAAGAACATAAAGAGAGAAAATCATATTTTACACTTCCACCAGTCTCAAATCTAAAAATAAATACTTGGTATCAGGCTGATTTTTTAACTGTAGTCCCACTTCAATATACTAGATACCACTATGATCTTGGGAAAAAACCCCACAGCTGAAACAAAAACCACCTGAAGCTGTACAGATATGACTAGATATTAATAATTACAGTTTTTCATTCTTTTTTCTTGCAAATTTTATGCACTGCAGAACACACCTTTCATTTGAACTAAATATTAATTATTGAATAGAGGGGAAGCTAGTGTTAAGCCAGAGGGCTAGAAGTCATGCTGTCTCTTACCATTTGGAGCTACTTGCCAAGGAGTTAATATTTCAAATTGCTGTTTATTATTCTGTGGAGGTAAAGTGTTATTTCACAGTGTGTAGGAGGGTTCTGTCAAATCAGTGAAGAGAACAAGTAATATCCTTAGGAGACAGCATTCATCCCACTGTTCTGAGATGTCAGCTCTGAACAATGTCTTTTACATTTTTAAGTGCTCATCACAGTACAGAATGACACAGTGAGAGAATGAAGCATTATTCTCTCCTGAGCACTTAACAGAAAAAAATATTTTAAAACATGAGCTAGCAACGGATTTCCAGATGTCTTCATACTCTAACCATGCAACACAGCACAAAGGTGAGCAACAGTGATTCAGTCTAGGATCCAGCTTCTCTCCTGCAGTAGGTATGATGCTCAAGCATATTGCCTTTAAAGTCCCAGTGAAATGCAATAAAGGACAACTTGAGTGACAGAATGGAGTGGCTCTTGTTAACTTAGAGATGCTTGACCCTGTGTAGTTTGACCCTCCGATACTGATAGGCTTAATTGCAGTCTAGAGATCTGATAAATGAATTAGCTTTAAGTTGAGTTGCATCTACAAACTGGTAACAGACTTACAGGTTAGAGTTCTTGAGCAAGAAATAATCAGTCTGAGGACATGGTCTACTAGACTCTAAAGTGTGTACAGTAAAAGCTGGGCTCATGTCCAATACTTTGGTTAGTCTCTCTTCCTACTCCTCCTAGGTATCACATATGATAAAATTACATCATGTTCTCTTGAGAACAGCACATTTCTGCTGTAAGAGCGTATGAGTTTGGTGAACAGATAGGTGCAAAGAAATACCTTCTATATCATGGCATTTTGAACATTTAAAATTCTAAGCAGGTATAAGAAATGCCCATGTTAATTTTCATGCTCCTACACATACAAGACAAAGAAAAACACGTCATTACCTATTTGGGACTGAGCTACCAAAGTGGACTTGCGGTCACAGAGGGGGGAAAACTGAAGACCTAAAGCAGCCTCCTTGTCTCCCTGCAAACAACAACACTTAATATTATTGGTATATATTTGATAAAGGGACAGAGAGACAAAGGAGTCTGAATATTCTTAGTATTTATTCAACAGATTAGTTCATTCACTTATATTCCTAAACAAAAACAAGTCACAGACAAAAAAAAAAGACCTTTCATTATTTATCTTCAAATTTTCATTATAAACAATAGTCTAAATTAGAACTTACTTTTGACAATTTTTATATATAGGAATTTACTGCAATCAAGTTCTCCTCAATAGCAAGGCATCTGCCAATGAGATTTAACATATGTGAAGTCCTTCAATATTCACAGTTCAGTTCCGCTGATCCCAGATGTAATGGGACTGGAGATATTTAGAAATGTTTGTAATAGTATGCCAAATGCTAAGTGTTTCCTTCTATTACATTGGTTTATGCAACATGTAAAATTCATTCAATGGATTTACTCAGCTCAAGGGTATGATCTGACTTGAGCTATTTCTCACTAGAAGACGTGTCCCTGTGGAAGCCATAAAAAAATACAAGCTCAGTTTCATTAAAAGGATGATTTGTACTGCCTAGTTCTGAAATGATTTCAACACTTAACACATTAGAAGAGTATTTCTTGTTGCAACAGTCTTAACAGACAGGAGGGTGTATCTCTATTTTCAGCACAGCAGACCAACTGACTTGCCAAAGCTCAAAAAGAAAGTCTAGTGACACAAAGAAATCTGAAGAGACATCTTCCAAAGGACATTATAATTTTTGTTGCTGGACAAACCTGGCCTTCAGAAGCACTGACATTATAGATATAGGAAAACCTAGTCTTTCAAGTAAAATCAACCTATACATTACATTTGTCATGGAGAGTGCTGTTTCATGATTTTTCAGTGGGGATCAGTACATGAACATGCCATTTTCTGAAAGATCTCATCAGAAGCTGATGGATGAAGGGATCAATATCAGCCTTCCTTAGTCTTTTTATCATGTATCATTGAAATATATTTAGGAAAGGTTTAGAACCATAATACCAATAAAACCACTTTGGCCATAGAAACAGATGTAGCTCACAGATTGCATTTCATGTGAAAGTAGAGAGTTTTATCACTATGGACATTAAATTTTACAACTGTTAATAATTTTACCTCAGAGTGTGGAAGAACACATGAACACTTACCACTAGGAGCAATGCTAGTGGCACCTCTGTCTACATATAGGAGCCAGATTGTAATACGATATAAACTGGGGTAGTTCTAACAATTTTAGCCATTGCCTAAATACAGGACTTCTAAAGTGATATTAATTCTGCAATCTTCCCTTAACCTCCCTTAACTAGGCATTTAAAAAGATAAATATGTGGGGTATATTATACACATATATGCGCTTGGACTAATTCTTGTCTGACACAGATTTGGAAATCCCAGAGATTTCTATCACACTGGCTCAGATCAACAGAGCAGAGGATGCACAACCAAGCCCGTACATTAAGAAGAAGGAGACCTACTGTGTCTGCACTGCTCAGTGCATTTATATATGCGGTTACTTCACCACATTTTAAAAGTGTTGGAACTACTCCACACGCACTGTTCTTAGCAGTACATACAAAGAGTGATTCAGTTTCTCGTACACTCCTCTGCAGCCTGGAAGACTTTCATACTTTATACTGTTGAGTTATAGACATACATACATTGTGACTTGATTCTATTGTTAAATGTCTTCTTAAGTCTTTGAGCAGCTTATTTGGGATCCAGTTGCTTCTTCTAATTAATTGATAAAGGAATAACTAAAACATTAATTGCATTCAATGACTAGTGTGGTACTATTTACAGCTAATGCTACCTCTACTTGACTGGACACATTGTCTCACTGTCCCATGGGCTTTACCTAGTCTGTCTGTCTGTGTCTAAAATGTTTTAACAGTTAGTTAATTTGTGACCATTTTTTCTGGGGAAGTATGCTCCTCCCTTTTGCTCTCAAGTTCAAAATTCTCATAATTTCCATTTACAGAAGGAGACAAACTCATTACTCTGCTCATTATTTCCACAAAACTCAGTCCATTCATTATTTAGATTAAGGCATCAGCTCTCCAGTCTGTCTCCCCAGTGCAAAGCCCAGAGTCAAGGATGCTCCCTACTGAGAATTTGTATGAAGAATTTCCAAGAATTGACCTTATAGGGCGGACAGACCTAACAACCTCATGGTTTAACATATCGTCTTTTTTATTCACTGATTCCTTTTTCCAGTGTGAACTACCTGATTTGAAAATGTCAACATATAGTAAATTAAGACAATTGAGTGGAGCAAGATGTACACTGTTCCTTTGTCTGTATTAACCATTTATAAAACCTGTACCTAACTGCAGAAATTGTGTAATACCTAAACTGGATTTTGATTATAAATAGTACTTCAGTAACTGTTATGTTGACAGTGTACATGGTCACAAATATTGATTACAGGAAGAGTATTTTCCCTCTGGAGAATTTTTTTTTTTAACCTACTGAGTGAATTGAAAAATGGCAGCAGTGAGACCAACATCTACTGGGCTTTCTCTCTGAATTCAGTACCTCACAGAAATGAGAAGACTTTCACAAAGGTGTGTCTTCATTTTTGGTTTAGGATATATGTCCTCACTGTTAACAGGATGATATACTGTACAAGCTCTCACTTTCGATCAGGCTATTATGAAAACAACATCTTCAGATCTGTGTGGCATATGCATGGCAAGTACTAGAAAGGAGAAGAAATAGGAGGGCTTTCTGAAACCTGAAATGGAGACAACTTTTTGCCTTCTTTGCTGAACATGAATTCTTCCTATTTTTCTTCGTTCTACCCTGCTGGTGCTTGTTTTTAACTCAAATCATATATAAATCTCTGTCTACAGAATGAAAACAGCTTGTCAAGTTATATTATAATTGAAAGAAAAATAACCCACTGTAACACTCAGAATCTTGGTATCAGCTGAAATAGATATACAGCTATAACCATTTCATCTTATTCACACATATAAAAGTTGAATTAATGTATATATGAAGAGTAAAGAATACATACTACTGACAATGCTTGTCAATCACAACCAACAACATCCTAGCTGGTAGACTTATGAAAATATTTAATTGTGTAACCTTTGCTTCTTGAATTAGATTTATTAAAGGATTTTAAAAACGGCACCTGTCGAAAAAATTCTTCCATCAGGGCCATGGTCCACCGGTAGTGCAGTTCCCAGGATTTCGCTGGATGGCTTATGTCTGCTGCATGTAGAATCAGAGACATGGCTTTGGCTTTGTCTACCCTGTCAATTCAAGGACATGCTCCAATTATCTCAAACAAAAGCAACTATTTAAATTCTTTTCTTGTATATAAGCTCATTAAAAGACTACAGATAATGAATGGATTGGAAAATAACCTACCCCTGTGTCTGCTGTAGAGTATGTCGCATCGTTTTAATTTGTTGAAAATGACCCGACATATCTGTTGACAAGACCATCTCAATGACCAAGCTACGCAACTCCCTAAGAATAATTAAAAGCAAAATGACTGATTAAAATTCATGTATTCTATGTATGGTACATTTGTTTAAGCAGTACTTGTTAATTCATAACTTTCAAAACAACATCATGGGGTTTATTACATTTTTAAAAGCATTTAAATAAATCATTAACAACTTGAACATTGCATCCTAAAGGGATTCTGTGAAAGCAATGTACTTCAGAAAATGTACTCTGTAATCATTATTTCAGAGTCACACTGTTTTGTAAGTACTATTTTCTAGTGCATAAACTAATATTACATGCAGTTCTCTCACCCATTATAAGTCTTTCCTTATTTTTCCAGCAGTAGAGTACTCACAAAACCAGTTGGTCTCTGGGCTTACCACCACACAAGAGGATACATTTGTGTCTTTTAATACTGCCATCATATTAGTGAAGAGTATGCAAAACACTAACCCTAGGAAGAAGGCTGTGGAAACACTCAGAAGAGTGAGAGGAAACACTCAGAAGAACAAGAGGTATTACATCTGAAACACTACCAACATTATACTGATTTAAGATCATTCTGACAAACTACCTTTTATCTCAAAAATACAATAATGGCTATTTAATGGATGTGAATAAGTTTGGGATTTATAATTTAAATATTTATCTTCCTATTATGGTCAGATATGTTAGCTTGTCCATCAGCTTTCTATGAAATGAATATGAAACTAGTAAAACATGAATCATGAAAGAAAGTGGTTTAATTCTGATTGTATATGAAATTACACTAAGTTCGTCAACAATGATTATTCATTTGAAAAATTCTGTTTCCTTGATGTAGAAGAATTGTATATAGACCATGTAGGATTCCACTGGGTCTTTATTTACATGCTTTTAAATGGCCTAGGAGGACTAGTGCAAGTGTTGCTTATATGTATATGGGGAACAATTCACCACATTAAACCTTTGATTATGTAGCATATATCTTCAAAAACACACAGACAATCTTAAGAATGCCCAAGTATCAAATACAACAGTAGAATCCTACTTTAGTCATTCTCAATGATCTTTCATACTGTGTTCATAACTTTGATTTACTTAACATGCAGGTTTTTTCAAAGGACTATGTTTTAAAGATGTAATTCACAGTCTTCTTTAGGACAGTTAGAATAATTTGTAATAAAAGCTATCAAGACTGGTTTTAAACCAAATTAATTACATATTTAAGCTGATACTCCTCATTGATTTTTAAGCATTTATTCCTGATTTGCTGTGATGTAACTGGATAAAAACTCAATCCTCTCATTTCTACTTAATAATATGCAGCCATAGCAACTTGCATTTAGTAAATGCCTTACCTTATCTGACCTCATAATAAGATACTAATTATTTTGCATCCCAACTGTTCCTCCTCCACGTTGCTTTGAAACTGTACCCATCAAACACAATCAATCCCATTATAAAAACCAAAACCAAACAGCTAATACTACATGAAAACTGAGTGCTCTGCATTGCTAAACCCTGCTGTTTCTAAGACTGAAATAATTATCACTTCCCCTTTCCATAGGGGATTTTCCTAGGAACATTCCATGTCCAAGCTTTCAAAGAGTAATCAGAAATAGGCTCATCCCAACTCACAAGACACCTCACCCTACTACACCTGACACACAGAGAAGCAAAATGCTGCTTTCAGTTTACTCATATTGCCAAATCTCACCAGCTTCAAACCAGCTGCATACAATAGTGAACTGGATCTGTGCAGCCACTCCATACAAACAAAATTTACAAAACGAAAATAAGGTCCTCTAGAAAAACATAATTGGGTTACAGTGAGAGGAGACTGAAAAGCAAGTGTAAAGACAGCCAGTCTGTGATTGAGCAACTTGTGAAAGAATATGGTAGTTTGTCACAGGTTCAAAAACCACGGAGACATGAAGTGCAACAGAAGTTAGAGGAGATGGCCCATAACTGGAGTGGGAAAAGAAATGTGGGAAGACCAGACCAAACAGCCTATGCAGAGAAGAGTGTGCTTCAGAAATGTGAAAAGAGCCACACAGAACCACAGCATATACAGAGTTGGATGGGACCCTTGAGGATCATCTAGTCCAACTCCTGGCCCTGCACAGGATAATCCCAAGAATCACACCATGTCCCTGAGGGTGTGGTTCAAACACCTCTTGAACTCTGTCAGGCTTGGTTCTGTGACAGCTTGCCTGAGAAATCTGTTCCACTGCCTGACCACCTTCTGGGTGAAGAGCCATTTTCTAATATCCAGCCTAAACCTTCCCTGACACAACTTCGACCATTCCCTCAGGTCCTGTCACTTGTTGCCAGAGAGAAGAGGTCAGTGCCTGCCCCTCCACTTCCTTTCGTGAGGAGAGGAAGTTGAGTGATGAGGTCTCCTCTCAGACTCCTCTTCTCCTGGATGAACAGACCAAGTGACCTCATCCACTCCTCATACGGCTTCCCTCTCCAGGCCCTTTGCCATCTTTACTGCCCTCCTTTGGGTGTTTTCTAACAACTTAATATCTTTCTCATATTGTGGTGCCCAAAACTGCATACTATGTTCAAGGTGAGGCTGCAGCAGCACAGAGTAGAGTGGGAAAATCACTCCTCTTCTCCTGGATGAACAGACCAAGTGACCTCATCCACTCCTCATACGGCTTCCCTCTCCAGGCCCTTTGCCATCTTTACTGCCCTCCTTTGGGTGTTTTCTAACAACTTAATATCTTTCTCATATTGTGGTGCCCAAAACTGCATACTATGTTCAAGGTGAGGCTGCAGCAGCACAGAGTAGAGTGGGAAAATCACCTCCCTCGACCGGCTGGCAATGCCTTGGCTGATGCACTACATTTCTCCCTTCATTCTGTTGCAGTCCACCAGAGCAATATGCATAAACATCACACACCTGGAAACCACAGGCTCTTCCCTCCTTTGGCAAATATTTTGTTTCCATCCTATTATTCTATTCGGGCAGTGACATAACAAAAGGGAATCATTGGGAACTGGTCACCAGATCTCTGTCAGCTGGAGCCACTGTATGTTGCTGCAGGGATTCCCAAACTGTACTAATATAACCTATATATAACCTAGGGTGGTCTCCAGTGATTAAGAAACCAGGACAAGAGAAGCACAAAAGTTTTCAAGCCATCTTTGGAGCAGTCCTGAACTGAAATTCAGCTGAAGATCTGCCTCTCTACCTGAAAGCATTCTCTGGTAGGGCACTATGAAATACCACTAATTCAAAAGAAAAACATACTCAGAGAAAAAAGATTTGAAAATAATTTTCTCTCTACAATGACAGCTTAAAAAGACAGAACACCAGCCTCTAATGGCAGTCTACTGGCACCATCAATTTCTCCACACTCAATAGCTAGGATGAGCAAAAATAGGGTCACAGAGACCTATCAGCCCCAAAACTATCAAGACCAAAATGGTTCCACAAAAAGCAAGACTGGCTTATGTTAGCAATAGAAATCAAGCTCTACAGATAGCTGTTGCTGAAGTTTACAATTTACCTCTGGGGATAGTTCCCCAGAACATTCTGATAACTAAATCCAACTGAGTATCCTCTGAGAATTCTTTTAAGATAATAATTTGTTTAAGAGAATTAAAAAGTGTATGCTTCTTGTCTCACCTTGTATTAAATAAAAAATTAAAAACACTTCTAAAATTGTGGTTTGGAAACAGATACAGAAAAAGAATTAATTGAAAACCAAAAGGGCCAGCAGACTTACATTCAATAAATTCTTTATTTAGGTGTGTTCTCATCATGTAGATAGGTAAAATCATGCAAATCTACCATGTAAAACAGTCCTTCATCTGTAAATATACACCACACCAAAATTTGATCTGACATTCATATTCCTTCATAAATGTACAGTTTTGTGAAAATATAAACAAAGCAGAGTACAGTTTTGTTATTCATGGTAGCATCATTCACAGTAAGAGACTTTCTTGGAAGCAGAACATCTCTAACTTCACAGTCCACTGATTTAAGAGAGACATGTTATTTTATATGTATTTGATAATTTTATATATTTATATATTTATACTTTT